CCAGCTTGTAGTGCATACCGGATCGGTACTCTGAGATGCTCGAAGAAAGAGCAGGCGCGAGGCTTGGTTGAGTGTAGATGCTCGGGAGAGTCACTGTGGCAGACGATGCCCTCTGGGGTGATATGGCGTGTTTAGATGCCGAAGACGGTCCACTATAGTAACCCGAATCCATAGCAGCTGACGGCATGGAGCTTGATGGCTTCGGAGGGGTTGTTAGGTAGGTCGGTTCCGGGGTGACTAAATCAATCGTATTCGAAGAGTTCGGAAAGAGTGTATGGGCATTTGAAGCCTCGATAGCTACGACATTGGTCCCAGCTCGGCGAGAGAGCAAAGACGGCTTGCCATTAATCTTGGAATTCAATGAAGGCCTCAATCTGAAGCTAGTCTTGCGTTCACGGCGTTGTTTCGAGCCTGTGAGCTCCGTTCTCCACTTCTTACGGGCCTGGTCCTCGACCATGGTTGTATACGTTATTGGTGTACCGGCGGACGCGGGACTTGACATTAAACTTCTGTCACACTAGACAGAACAGTGTTGGTTGGAGAAAGCGTTGAGGGAATCAGGCGCAGTAGAGCAAGGTGAGCGCGTTAGGAGGAGGAAAGACAAAGAAGCGAGCAGAGTTAGATATTGAAGAATGTGTTAATGGGAGGAGGAAGAATGTCGTAGATTGTAAGTAGGTAAGTATGAGAGTAAGTGTGAGAGGGAGTAAGAGGGAGAGGGAAAGCGAGTAAGATGTATGTTGTTGGGGGGAAAAGGGTGTTATGTGTGGTTGTGGTTGAAATGGAATGGTGGTGGGGCGGATTGGCGGGATGTTTCTTGTGGGGTGTGGTGGTGCTTTACGGTGCCTGAGTAGTGACTGTGGGTGGTTGATTATTGTACAGCCTAACAGAACGGCCTTTTTTTTTCTTTTTTTTTTTTTCACACGCTTCCTCCTTCAGGAAATATAATTTCAGAGTTCGATGACTGACTGACTCAATCTGTCAAGCTTCAAGCAAAAAGCCTGTATTCCGCAAGCAAAATATAAGTCACCAGTAGCTACCTAATGATAGTAGCAAATAATGGTAATAGCAACGGAAGAACGTCCCTCGCCGCTTCCAATTTGCGAAGAAAAAAAGAGTAGAAACCTTCTGTGGGTGTCTAGTTAGGATTCGATGACCTGATGGTTCAAGAAACTCTCAGTTGACAATGAGCGTCGGGTTTACTCAGGGCCCTCGTCGGGAGAAAAAAGTTGGGAATAATCGGCTGCGGGGGGTATGGGGAAGAGGGGGGGGGGGGTATTGAACGATCTGCACGACGCAGTTCAGTTTGGATGCCACAGAGAAATGCAGGGTGCTTATCACCTTCAAGGTAATGATGCTAGTACTCGTTCTCAGCAGTATTGGATAGGCGTGAAAGAATATATGGACGAATTCGTGAAAGAAGTGTTGAGGGGACGTTGAGCTAAAGAGGACGTTGGGGATATGAACTTAGAATGTGAATAAGTGAGTGAACATGACCATAGTGGGCCGACTAAGGGGGATGGTAGACCTAGATCATCATATGAAAGAACCATTGAATTGTGTATACGCAAGTGACGTCTTCAGCATAGTAAATTTGTTCACCTTTCTTAGATAGCTGACTTTCCCTCTCTATCCCTCTCTCACCATTCTCTAGTCTCTAGGAGTGCCTTAATCTCGTACCACACGTTTTTTTTATGCTCTTTGCCCTCTGGCTCTACCAAGAACAAAATGCAGGTGTGAAAAAATGATAATCAGGGTCGTTGCAGGCATTCTTGCAAGGCCAAAGACGCTATGTACGCTACATCATTACCCTACTACTAACCAGATCCCCAGCTCGTAAACAGGGTAGGAAAGCACCCCCGTAATTGAATAATATGTTGACTATTCACATTGTACATTATTAACTCGGAGGTGGGGGGGGATTTTAAACTAGAATTTACTCTCTACGTGATATCTAGGTTTACCCCAGCACTTGGGACCTTTTTCCTTTTTAGAATTAATAATGTCGGAACATCCGCTCTCAAGTACATGTATGTACTATAATAGTTGGCGAACGAATTCCGTCGAAAGATGGACAGCATGTATGACCTCTTCCAGTGCGTTCGAGCTGCAAAGTAACGCTCTACCCATTTGTCAGGCGCACTTTACACTATTATGCTGTTTTAACTGCTCAGATCAGCTAACCCCAGCACGTGAGCTATGATCCAGAGAGGAGATAGTGGAGATCTGCTCCTGTTCAAACTCCTACTCCACCACCACCACCACCACCTCCTCCTCCTCCGTACGCTCCTTTCTCCTGCGCGCTGTTGACAAGAAAAGAATAGAAGCTAGAAACTCGAGATACAATAATATTTTTTTTCCATGCGGTATTCGTGCTAGTTTCAGATGTCCTTCTTTGTCGTAAGGCAAGCTGAGAGCTACTAGTCTTGTGCTACGAACGTTTACACGCAGCCCTGGTGATGAATGCGCCTCACTCCATCCCTCACTCCAACCAGCTCCACAATCCTTTCCAAACCCTCACCCAAATGTTCCGGCCAGAGAGAGTGAGAGAGTGAAAGGGAAGGCTGCCACGTATGAGCCAGCCAACGGGGATGGAGGGAGTATTCTTTTCTATGTTATGTAGGTACAGGAATTGAGACGGACGGAGCAGGAAAAGAAAGGGATTCTTAAGGAAGAAGAAAAAAAGTTCACACAAAACGTTTGTTGGCGAACGCGGGGAAATGGGAAAACGGAGGGGTTGAGCTGTCCTTGCGCGAAATTGCGCCAAGGGCATCTCACGATTGAGTTCCCGCCAGGAAAAAAGGGTATGTAGAGAGAGATAGAGAGAGGGTACATGGTGGTACTATGTAAGGTTGAACGTCATGATAATCACTTGCCTGTCGACGACGACGTCTGCTGCTGCTGCTGCTGCTGCTGTCGCTGCACGCGTCTGCATTTAATACATGCCTACATGCCTCTCTACATAAGGCTTTTGTGTGTGCGCCGGTCCGAGTGCAAATTTGTGTATCAACCGTTCCATTTTTGGGAACTACATGTAGCTTGCAACGACGAATCCACGGTTGATATTCTGAAAAGCGCCATACCACTTCCCATTGATTTCCGGCACATAACATTGAAGTATCTGCTTTAGAACTACACTACTGTCTGTCGGTGTCGTCAACCGGGTTCGCAAAGAGCGCCTTGGATCCTACAGCGAGCTAGGCATGTACTCCAGAGAAGAGTTACAGCACAGTACTGTATGTACGCAGTATTTACCGCTAGCTAGATACAGTACTTACATGTATGTAGTCAAGCAGGATGGCGAACTCGCTTCGGTGTTAAGATTGTCAACCGAGTAAAAAAACGTGGGAACCCGTACTCCCAGGCTCCATTGCGTTCGCGCCACAAGAGGTCCACAAATACATACGGAGCTGTAGGGAAGATGCTTCAGATACAAAGCCCGCCCAGGTTTTTTTTCTTCCCTTGAATACAGCTTATTTAAAGTTTCCGAATATTCCTGAAACCTCAGATCCATAGGGCCCTCTGGAGTTCGGTGGGCCTCAATAGCTAGCTCTAAGGAAGTTGAGGTGGTGGTTGCTGTTGTTGACATCAGCCACAGGGTTATCATCCTCTCACTTCACCCCTGCTGGTAGGCGCGGGCGCCGGTAACTTTGTTGCCCAAAAAAGCATCCTTCACGTTGCGGGTAAGCTTTCCATAACGAAAGCGGTAAGTACCCGCCAAGCCTTTCAGGTTTCTTGGCATCACACCGGTTTACAGTAGAAGCAAGAGAGCAAAGGCCTGGCTGGATATGATGGCTTGAATCCTCCTACTCCTCACAAGGTTGCTTTAGTTTCGAAATGTGTGGCGCTTGGACATTTTGAGACACTTGCGTCCTGCTGGATCATATGGTCTCTCTAGTGATGTGGTGGTTGAGAGGAAGAAGAAGAAGGCTTCCAGCCAGCTAGCTAGCCTACATAGAATTCGTTCTAGCCATGGCTATAGGTATTAGGTACATACACCTTTGTGGTACCTACATTACCGGCGTGATTCACACACCTACTTATAACTTTCTCGCTACCAGGACCACACGATGTACCTGCATGTGAGAAGAAGAACAGTGCGCGCGAGAGGGCGATGATTGAAAAATAAAATAAAACAAATGCAATAACTTTTACATTTTGCGTACCCCCCTCCCATCATGGCCCATATCGATTGTGATAGTTCCAAACGATTTGAGGGAAACCTCATCGCACCCCTCTGGTAATTCTTCCGCGTGGAGGGGTGGGGGGTGGGGTCTTTTTGTGAGCACTTAATGCGACACTGCAGTGCAGCCAGCAGCAGCAAGCAGCAGCAGCCAGCAGCAGGACACACAAACAATAGGTAGCTTGTTTGCCAGGTATCTGCTATGTACCTACTATCTATGCTATGATAAATCTGCACGCTGGAAGAGGCTGTTATGGGTAAATAGCTGTACCTACTCTGCTCTCTTCTTGCTCCGAGGAAGGAACTAACGGATGCTCAAAGATTGTCCGACGGTTTTTCGTTGCCGTGGAAGAAATACCCCATTGGCGAACCGGCCCTAGAAAATCGCCAAAGTCGGCATTTCCATTGGCCGCTAATGATCATCGATATCGATCTGAGCTTTCGAGAAAGGATATGAACAGAAAGCAAAAGCGGGGTCAAATTAATAAAGAACGGGGGAAAAAAGCCACTCTTGCGGCTCCCCGATGTTTTCCAAATCGATAGACAGAGCTCGGCTCAAGCTCGGGATCATGAGGTGACGTTCAATCGCACGCACACGCTCTGTTTGCTACCAAAACCAATAAATCTTATCAGATCGATCTGGCAACATACAAAACAGGGCCCGTGGTTGGCTGGTTGCACGCTAGCACCGGTCCCTCGCAAACCCCCACCACCTCCACCAAGCGAAACTACGTATTTGTCTGCTCGTTGCAAGATTTCCGTTTCGAATTTTCCACCCATCTCCAAAAAGGTTTCTTCAAAAACCACACAAACCAGCACAATGGCAACCTTCCTCCGCCTCTTGCGGGCGCCCGCTGCTAACCTCCGTATCGCTGCTCCCCGTCTCAGCGGCGTAAGGGCCTTCGCTACGTCGCAAATTCTCCGCCAGGCAACCGTCGCGGTGCCGACAAAGAGGCCGGTCGGTGCATTCAGAGGAGGGTACGTACTATATACTACCTTGAGGCGTCTTCCGCGGTGCCCTCACGTCGTTGGACCGGGTAGTGGTGCTGGGAAATGGTCGAGGGAGGGAACGAGCGTTGGATGAATAGTCGCTGACATATCCGGGAAATTCTTGATAGGCTCTTTGGTTTTCTCCTTGGATCGTCCGTCTCCGGAGCTGCGGCTTACTTCTACCTCCTCGAGGAATACAAGGTCTCCAATGAGCTCTTGACGGAAGATATCGATGTGCGTTTTTTACCTTTCTCGATCCTTTCTCGCCCGCTTTCTATCATTCAATGAATTCCACCACCACCAACACTACCCTCCATATATATAGTTCCCCACATGTGAGTTGTGCCGTTTGCTGAGACAATCGCTATAGGCCCTGAGATCATCAATTCAACGGATCGAAGTCTACGTCCGCAGCCTGGAGGAGAAGATCGAGGTCCAGGAGGCCAAGTCAAAGAAGAAATAAATGTTCAAAACTAATCCACCGCCCGTCCGTCCGTCCATATTCCAATATCACACATGTCCAAAGGAACAAGAGAGAGAGAGAAAGAGCGACGAAGGAAAGAACATAAGGGACTTCAATGCAATGTTAATCTTTTGAGGATTGCATTTTTCTTCTTTAGTAGGACTGCGAGAGAGATATCTAGGGTTTTTAGCTGTTTGTTGTTTCGTCCATATTCCCCCAAATCTGTCATTCCTTTACTTGCCCTTCGTAGCGGGTAGGGAAAGTGTTGTATCAAAGCTCGTGGCGTGTAAGTAACATATCTCTGGAAAATCTCATATTTCTTTTTCTGCGATTGGACGATGGGGGTGGAGACATTTCTGGAAACTGCGTCAAGTATTGGTGTTTGATTCTCCCGGGCCGCCATCACCGTGTCTACTGGTCCGATCCAGAAGGGTGTATTGCCGTGGTGTCGGAATTTCATCTGTGGATGTGAATCTCTCTTCCAACTTTCTCCACTGCCAATAAAACTCTTCTGTCAGATTTCGCCGGCATATTGCCAGGTGTAATTACAGTATGTGATAGTCAGGTCAGGGTCAGGATTCCATCATAATGTCTCACTCGCTTCGAAGTTCGATCCATTCCTTTGTAAAACACATTTTGTCTTTGGTTGTCTATATCCTTCTGTAATTCAATTCAGAGTTTAAGATAATTGATGGGTCGATGAACAGAATGATACGGTAAATCATTCAAGGCTTGAGACAAACTTGACTAGAATTTGGTAAACGCTCGCCATTCCCCAGATCGAATAGTGTAGCCACATTACAAGACTAAAGCAGCACTTAGATATAGATGGTAACCACCGCATTTTCCTGGAGTATTCTCGAAAGAAACAGTGCCACATTGACTTTCGATACTCTGGCCGATACCAGCAACCTTCTGTTTGCATAAAACCTCTGATAAGCCCTGTGGCTACAAGAAAGGCTATTGCACATGGGGAACAAAAACGATCTACCCCATTTAGCTAAGACTCCAGGCATGAGACCAAGTATTCCCTATATTCTATCTATTATACATGAAGCTTAATACAAAGGGAGGATAAGATGGTAGGATGAAGAGAAAAAATCTACCCTCATAAGAATTTAGTCTGCTGAAAATGTCACTCGCCTGATCGCAGTGCCAACCATTCCTGGCTTACGAATCTTCCTCATCTTAATTTGTTTACTCTTTGCCTTGCCACTCTTTCCCTTAAACTTCTGTCTGCTTTGGTCATCCTCCGGCCACTCCCTCCCGGTCTTTTTGAAGATATTCTCCAGAGCGTCAAGCTCGACGTCTTGCTGGACGGTCTCTAATTTGTTACGCAGGACTTTCATTGCTTCGCGGAGTTTAAAGATCTTGTAGGTTCCGTTTGTGACGTCGTTTGTGGGGTCGGTGGGATCGGCGATACAGAGGAGGGAGTTACGCGCTTTGCCGCAGTGGCCCTTCGTACCCTATGGATGTGGTTAGTAATGGCACTCAGCACGGGAGTTCTCGACGGGGACAAGGCTCACCTTTTTGTAGATGGCACCTTCTGCGGGCTCTAGCATGGTAGAGGCCAACTTCCACTGACAAGACCAGAAGGCGAGGTAGTCAACCAGCAGGCGTTGGTAGTCTCTCTCCTCTATCCATCTATGGTAATCCTCGACTGTGCAGTTGCGTGCCTTGACCGTTTTTCGGACCTTTGAGGGAGAGTCAGTTCTATAGCTCGATATACAGCCAGAGGACCGACCAAGGTGGGAAAAAAGCATCATCTCACATTGAAATAACCAATGACAGTCAACGCAAGACCGTACGACGAGAGACCGCCGGTGTAAACTTTGTTGTAACGCCTTGATTTGAGCCTAAACCGCGTAAATTCTGTTAGAAAGCTTATTTTAATTCCGAGGGATAATTGAAGTAGAGGGAAACACCCTTACCAGTACTTGAGCAATATTATCATTGTCCTCATGTAAGGACGCTCGTCCAATTCTCTCCTGACATACTCCGTGTTGGTGAGTCCATTGGTCGTGAATGATATGTCTACGCCGATAAGGTACTTCGAGTCTATATAGGTTACAATGGGCACACGGGCACTTGCGTGAACCGCCGTGGTCGTTGGTTTGGTGATCCTATTTTTGATAAGTTCATCCTCCATTTTTTGTGCCCAGATACCGGCGCCGGCCCGGGAGTAAATCCCCCGCGTATCGACCACAAGGTCGATATCACTATAGAAACACAGAATGTCAATTACATTTCTCAAAGGGACCCAATCCCAGTGAGTGGGTTTTTTTTTTTTTTTTTTTTTTTTTTGGGGGGGGGGGGGGGGGGGTTGCGAGGGAGAGAATGAAGGGAAACGGACCTCCCATGTAAACTTGTGCCATTCGCAAAGCTGCCCACCGGCGCAACTCTTGCCTGAGGCCATATCGAGCGAGCGATTGCGACGCTCCTATCTAGAGTTAAATTTCTCTTCAATGCTCCTTCCGCACTGATAGCAAGACGGGCTGCCAGAGCAGCGAATGGGCTCGCCATGGTGCATTGTTCTCAATAGAAGAGTCGTTGGAGGAGAGGGCCACCAAGATTATTAGATGCCTAGTACCAGGGTCAGATTTTTTTTTCGCTTTCCCTCTCACAGTTTTGGTTACCACCATCACCCCCACCCTAGTCGTTTACCGGGATGTTCCTTATCGGTTCCCGAAGTGGATATTTATTGATTGGGTATTCTTGGCGTTCCCATAATCACACCTCACGTCTTCCTCCCCACTACGCATATACACCAAGTCCATCAAATCTATCAATTAGAGCCACCAACACTATAGTGCCTTAGACAGCTACTACGGTTACAGATATGCCTCCTCAACCATCCGCCTATTCATCAAGAGGCGTCCGTCCGTCGCTTGCCCCCTCGAACGCAAAGGCACGTCAGCTCGCCCACCTTAATTCACAGCTAGCGCAGCTGCAGGCACATCTCGCAGATCTCCAAGATATCATGCGAGTAACAGCTGTGCAGGCTGAAAATATCAAAGCCCTAGGAGGGCTCAACGGTGCACTGTTGATCTCCCCTCACCCTTCCTTTGCTCCTTCTAACATGCATGCAATGTAAAATAAATGGAATTCTGTTTCGCTGACCTGTGCGACCATGGGGTGGTCCAGATTGATGGCCGCCGGGAAAGTACTCGGAGATGAAGGCAACGGAGAATAGTCATTTCTAGCGGAAGGAGAATATTTAGGAGTATCATGGACCAAGAGCCAATGCTCTACATATTTAATGACTGGGGCCTCTTCATTACGGAATCGTGGAATTTATAACAATGTTTTTTGTTCACATTCCTGGTCCTTCGTCAATGCATTGCATGGCCCACTCTTTGCCTGAGAGCAGAGAGAAATTGTTGTGAAAAAAATGTTTAGAAGCTAATCATATCAATTCTGACAGTTTGGATTACAGAGAAATAAAGCGTGTAATCCAACTCCCCCGATCCAACAACAAAAAGGGTACAAAGTAGATAAGAAATACAGTCCTGAAAAGAGAGTAAAGATCTGGTGCATGTGACTGGTCCCTTAGGGACAAGGGCTATACAGACATAAATGAAGATCGAAATGGATGGAACCTGAAACCCAAAACCCTTTAACAGAAGGCAAAAGAAACCCAAAAGCTTTGGCATAGCCAGACCCAATGAAAAAATAGTGCAGGGCGAGACACAACGACGGTAAAGTAATAGGAAAGAGCACTCGTTAAAATCATATCATCCTTCCCCATCAATACCAGAAAAGTCAACGAAAACGAATACTGTATCTCTTGTCCAGAAAGCGATTATAACCAAACCCCCAGGAACGAAACAAAGTAACAGAAAGGATACCTCCTTCCAATAGGCCCAGAAAGACACCTCCTTTCTATCCGTGATAAAACAGGAAAAAAGAAAAAAATAACCAAGATGTGAAATATATCAAATGAACCTAAGAGCCAAATAATCAAACTAAAGAAAGAAAAGACCCGTGCTGAAATGAACCATAAAAGAGACAGACATGCACGAGCATAGAAAAGCAACCACATGAAGAAAATCCCCAATAAATGTACACGACGATCCACCTCTGATCGCGAAAAGCACCTCACCGTAATAAACCAACACTCCAAATTACCCACAAAAAACCCTGCTGACCATTTTTCCAAGAGATTACTTGGATAATTTGGCTTCGCAGTGATCTCTAAGCCCTCAAAACGAGTTTACAACCAGAAAAAACCCCCACAGAAAATGAGAACACCATAAAACCGAAGAAAACCAGACAAAGCATTAAAGAGACATTGTAAGCCATTCCCATTCCTGGGTGCCAGCTGTGGGATTGACCGCCGGCGCAATAGGTGTGTGATGCGTTGTGTTATGTATAATTGACGACGTTGATTGCTGGAGAATCGGTGCCAAAGGCTTGTCCTTCTTTTTGCCGATATCTCTTGTTGAATCATCCATAGCGTCACCATCTTCGCTCTCCTGAGGGTGGCCCTGGCTTTTTGAGAGCCGTCGTTGACGCTTCGGTACTGCAGCAGCAATCGGCCGAGCTGGATTGCCACTAAGGGAGCTCTTTGGTGGTGCGGCAGCAATTGGAATGACACTTATTTTGTTACCCTGTCCAGAAGCACTCATCATAGACAAATTATTCGTAGGAGTGCTGACATTAGACCCCCCACCTGTAGAGGGTGGAGATTCCGACCCTGCGAGACTTTTGGACTGTGCCGAAACTGGTGTAGTAACTGGGGTTTGTACCAAAGAATTCTTCCGGCCACCCTTCTTGGATGCGCGAGTTGCCGCATTTCCGACAGGCATCGAGTTTCCACTTCCACGGTTACGCTTTTTGATGACATCCGTTTTCAATGAAAGAGGGCGAACCACACCATGTAGTTTCAAAAATAGACCACACGCATTACATAGAGGATGACCCTCGGGATTTCTCCTCCACAGAGGCGTAGTTTGTGTAAAGCAATTAGTGCAAGTCGTTGGAAGTCCGTTGGAACCACCAGCTCCAGCCCCTCCATTCTTCTGACCATCTGGTGAAGCTGGTCGGGAAGGTTCGGTGGAACTGAAACCAGACTCTGGCGGTGTGCTTGGATTGGATTGAACGCGCTGGTTCATTATTGAAATGGCCAACTGGGGAGCATTCGGCGTAGAACTTGTTCGAGCGATTTTCTGCCTTCGCGCACCGTTTGGATCCTGTACCCTGTTACGCATATCACTTACCGATGCACTAACGGAATGTGATCGGCTATGATGCCCCCCACTCATACTCCATTCTTGCGGAGAGGGCGCAGTCTCGGTGCCACCAATCCTCACTGTCTTTTGCTGTTGTCCTGGGTACCGCCCATTTCCAAATGAGTTTTGCCCACCCGCACCATTTCTCTGGCCCCACTCTCCGAAATGAGTTTGCAGGGCTGATTGCACATCCATTTGATCTTCGATTTGATTCAAATCGCTTTGAATGTTCATTCGATCCATTTCCTCGTCCTCGAGGTCAGAATCAGCGCCAAAAGAAAACATCCCGTCATTCCTAGCCCCGGTAGAACCTGGTGACTTAGCAAGGCTAAAATCTCCGCGCAAAACCTGTGAGGGGTTGACGTGTTGAAACTGTTGATATCCCGGCGATGGAAATCCTGAATGGGTAGCAGAGGGGTTTGCACTCAAAAGAGGGTCGGTGTTGCTGAAGTAGTATTCATTGGATGTGAGGCTATTTGGTAATGTACTGTTCCTTGAATGTCCAAAGCTGGGGATTGGGCGCCCTTGTTGTCTGTCAATGTTGATCTGATCGAAGAAATTTCCTGCGTGATTCTCGGAGAGAGGATGAGGAGTCGAAACAACAGAGTGGTTGGCGGAGGCGGGAGGGGAGTAGAAATCATTTGAGGTCACGGAAGACGCCATGGGTGTATGTGAACTACTATACATGTTCGAGAATGGACCATTTGTCACAACAGGGCTGTGAACAGGAGAAAAGAAGCTATTTTGATAGGGCCCAGCAGAAGTAAGGTACTCCGATGTCTCCACAGAGGTGTCAAGAAATGACATAGTAGATGGATGTGAGTTTGGGATCGAGAATCCTTGGTGATCCTGATCCAGATGATAATCGCTTAAATCGTGGTCCGGATCTGGATCGTTGGGAATCATGATACTGGCAACTGGAGGAACATGTGGGGAGAAGTCCGCTCGTCGCTTGGGAGGCTAGATAACACAATTATTAGAAATCACACCTACACTTGCCATAGAAAAAACTCACTCGACGCTCATCGACACTTGTTTTCCGAATCCTCCTCTGAACATAATCAAACTCGTCGTGATTATTCTCGAGATGCTGGGGTGCAGAGGCTGGTGGAAGATGAGAGCTAATCATGAGTTCTTTTTCTCGAGATGATTTCTTTATGGGGATTGCCGAGGCAATAGCATGAGATGAGGTGTTGGGATTTAGATTTTCGCTGCTTGGTGAATGTGCAACCCCGCAACTCGAAAATCCGCTTGGGGAACCAACCATTGATGATGGTGATGTAAAGGTAAGGTCATCCATAAACATACAATCGGGCTCCGATGGATTCGCACTGACGCTCGCCGAAGACGTTTTACTTTCAGCTGCTGAGCGGGCTGCAGCAGAAATCCCTCCTATTCGGTTTTGATGTTGCTGAGATTGTCTTGCGGCCATTCTAGATTCAACCATCAGAATCGGAGATCTTTATAAAATAAAAGAAGGCTGTAGATTTTAACTGGGTGGACACTCACCGAGCTTGTTGCTGCTCTTTACGCAGTGTCATTGACATCATTCTCCAAGTAAGGTTTTCCATACGCTCCGCGTTAGGGAGAACGTTCTTTTGTTTACTATACAATCTCCATACCTGGGTAGCGAGCGGGTCCTTTTTTTGCATATCCTCTGGTGTTTCTTCGTGTCGGCCGTTCGTGGCGCCACTGATATCCCCAAACGATCCGCCCAGAAGCTCCTTCCGGGCGAAAGACTGCGCCTGTGCGAACTCCAGATTGGCGTTTTTGTCTCCAGATTGATCTCTAGAGTATGAGGGTGAGAAAGTAAGGGAAGTAAGGTTTTGTGGAGAAGTAGGTTTGGTTTGGTGTAGATGGGAGTGCGGAGAAGTTGCACCTGAGCCAAATGAAGCTGCCGAAAACATGTTGTGTGAATTCTCACCAGCGGCGACGGCACCCAAGCCGACACCCCCACGCCCATTGAAAGCCATCGAGACTTCGGTCTATGAATGTAAGAGATGGGACCACCCCCAGAAAAAGGGTTGCTTTTTTGGAAGAGGTTTTTTGCTTTTTTCTAAAAGTTGGAGGGGTAGCGAGACCGTAGTGTAGAGGTGGAGGGCGAGGGTGATCGATGGTAGAAGTAACAAGGTGTGATGCAGGCGGTGGCACGAACTTGAAAACCCGACACTGACCGCTGCTGAGTTTCGCGGGATGGCCGCAGAGTTGAATGTGGTGGGGGAGAGAAGAGTGGTAGTGACGAATGGAGAAGCAATGTCCTGACGGTACCCTGTCTTAGGCTTCTTCCCTGTCGACGCCGAGATCTGTTTGGAGTACACTCAGAACAGGAGAGAGCACAATAAATAAAAGTAATGTGAGTGATCTTGCGCACTCTCTGGCCGTCAGTCGCAAGATGCGCTGCGACTGTGCGCAACCGAAGCAATCAGAGTTGAACCCGGCAGCCGAATGAACAAGGTGAACGTCAGTCAAATATCAAACCCCGCCGGTGGCTTCGCACGGCCGCTGTACGTTCGTCTCCGTCGGCGATGGTTTATTTTGAATTTTGTTTCCTTTCTTAGGTATTACACAAGCCTGCGGCCTCGATGTCAATACTCTCCGCACCCACAGAAAATGAAAATATGGGGGGAAAAAAAAATATAATTCGAGGATAGGCTGGTGTGCATACCTGGTTCTTAATATTGTTTCTCGGTCGCTTGCGACTGTCTGTTCACTTTTCGCGAGATAAGCGACCGTAAATAGATGACAAATTTGCAGGGGGGGTGCTGAGCGCGGGGGTCACATACTGTCTCTGTCTCGATCGAGTCTGACGAGCGACTACGAAAGAAATATAAAAAGAGGTAAGTAAGGGTGTGTATGTTATATATATAGGGCGTGCCAGGCGAGTATAAAACACAATTCCACATAAAAATGCAAGAAATGAAAAGGAAAAAGGACTTTGGTTCTATATGAGAGTAGAATCTGGGGGGAAGGACAGCGGGGATAGATGGAGAGGAGGGGGGTATGAGATTATGGATTACAAGGGAGGAGGGGAGCAACAGCTAAGAGGAGGAGAAAGCAGCCAAAGGAGCAAAGAGAGGCGCGTATATGTGGTGGATATGTAGAACTGATGTCAAGCAGCTGCTGTTGACTGCGGTCGGTACATATGATGGACGAACCCACCCAGACCCCCGAATAGTGCTTTCTGAATATGCAGGGTACATGGGAGGGCTATCCAGACAGTCGGAAAGAGTAGGGAAACGATATTCTTCATTGTGACGGATAGAGGGGAGAATGAACTTACGGATGGACCTGGTCCTTTCTCTCTGTTCTCTTGTGGATCTGTAAGATGTCTGGCTGGAGGTAGAGAATCAGGTTGGCTGCTGGTCAAAGAAGACGAGGACGACCCCCCGCTTGTCTTACTACTTTCCGTAAATGTACCGTCTGTTGTCGAAAACAGTGAGATTCGAGAGAGTCCCCACGCAATTTATTTGGCCTCTCTTTTTTTTTTTTTCCTTTGTATATTCCCTGACCAAATAAGACCAGGTTCTTCTCAGCTTTTTCCGAATATTTTGATGAAACGGGACGGTTAGATATGGATGATATGATTGAATCTGAGTGAGAGAATAGGCAATCCAAAGCGCGTTACTGTGGCTTCTTCCCCTCGGGTGATGAAGGAACGAGAGGACTGCGCAGCTGTCGAGATAGACAGCCACTGGATCGATAGAGTAATATCAAATCGTCAAAGGTTATTAACGCCCATGTCAAAAGAGGGCCAGAATTCAAATAAGCTGGAACCGGAACTCAATTAACTGTGTTGTAGGGCTCTGATCTGTTTAGAAACAAGAAAAGGAAAAAAGATGAGCTCTAGCTGGTGATGGAGAGAGAAAAGGCCAGCTACCAGACAGTGGGTTCTCCCCTCCCCCAGGAATAGTTCTCACTCACACAGTTCACTACTCCTCTTTTTTGGACTGAGGGGGGTCATAAAATCAAAATAAAGCAAAAAAAAAAAAAAAAAAAAAAATTATGGACCAAGGAGAGCACAAAAAGCACTTTTTTTTCGCTATGGATGGATTGCTACATCTGAAAAGCAACACACCTAACCGACACGACAGTTAATCGGCTAGCCACACTTGATCACCATCACCACCCTCTTCTGCAGGCTGAACCTGCACTGAATAGTACGAGTGAGTGAGTATGGATGCGAACTCTATGGCACGCTCTTCTTACTACCTATGCGATAGAGGTTCGATATTTCAACCAGCTCTAGGAGTTTCCCCCCTCTTTTCGCTCATCATCAAAGATAAAACGCCAGCTACAATCTACACTCCTCCCTTGTCCGCACGTTCCATCCAGGCTGACCCCTCCCCCCCCCCCAATGGAACATTTCGTGCAGCTCTTATTCCTCAAGCGTCCGTAATTAAGACCTCGCCCGGCGTTTCGACAGTTGAGCACCGAACAATCCATTGCCAACGGGGTTAGTTTGACCAACTGAAAGATGTCGCTAACAGCGGCACCGAATAATGGCATGGTAGATCCGGGCACCTTGCTGCGGAGCCGCGAGACTTTAAGGCTTCTGTTTTCAGAATTGAAATTATTTTGAGATGTTCTGGTGAGCATTCATAAGGCATGACATCGGCGCCTTCCGTTATGGTGTTCTTTTCCCTTTGGGATTCATTTTTCTCTCCCGCCAACACCACGTCGTTGTGTAGCTCTGCAGCCTCCACCCCGGAAGCCCCCCACGCGATCGGTAAAGGAAGCTCAACGATTCGCCACATTTCCAACGGAACTGAGGTCTACTTTAACCGTCCCTTGTTGAAAATCCACCGCTCGCGTGCTTTTCTTGGATTTCGTGGGGGCATTACAACCACCCCACTCCGCGTCGTTGTCCGGTCCCTAGGCGAAAGTGGAGGCGTTTCGACGTCCGAGTCTATCATCCAGCTGCGAGGGACCATAAAATGAAATCACAAAGAAATTCGATCAAGAAGAGCAGTGATGATGAGTACATCGTGTGTCCCTGGAAATCATATTGGAGGGGGGAAATAGTGGGAAGAAATGGGGGAAATGAACCCTGGCAACAACCTAATGACCGTGAAAACGTTTCGAAAGGGTTTTCACTCTCACTTATTGCTGACTCGCTGTTGATATCCAAAGTGACCGCTTTTAAAAACTGTCCTCGAGGAATATTTTGAGACTTCACGTGAGTGAAAGGTTTAGGGACGTCATTGGGATTCCGAGTTCTTCCGAAGGAAGAACCCCGCCGTGTGAAAATAGCACTAACCCGTTAACAATTCAGCGTACTCCTCAGTCGGGATTGTCGACAGTCAGCCCAAGATCTTCATAAAAATGTTCGGAGCGGCCGGATTCCACCAGGGTTACGGCGACATTTTCCGGAGTTCTTAAGCTTCATATCCGATGATTCGGGGGGATGTTGGGTCAGAAATACCCCGCGGTCAGTAACGCGACGTTCAAACGCTTGGTCGACGGTAAGAAACTTTGTCAGTGATGCGGGGAACTTCGGGTAATTACTCCGGCCTCAAGTCCGGGGATAGTTTTTTGTAAAAGTACCATGTAATCAACTTTGATTTGATGGTGGTAAACGTTTGATAGAGGCTTGCCGAGAAACCAAGAAACTGTAAGCTAGGGATCGAATCCCAAAGCAAATAATTCCCAGATGCCCTTCGAAGAGATGCATTGTTCACAACGACTCATTGGTGATGCATCGTGAGGGCCTGGTAGGTACAGGACGGATCGCTGCAGGCACCGAAATAAGCATATAAAAGGCCGCTTGATGTGGGTTGCGATGGGGCACCGTCTGCAGTGACTGACTGCGCAGGAAGGGAAGAATACTTCATTGCAACATACCTGCGATCGAAAGCCGACAAATAAAAGAAAGGGAGAGAAATACTCAAGAGAAAGGAAGTCGCCCACCTTTAATAAATACACGAGAGATAACCAGAAATACCCGGGTATCTCTCTACCTGGTTTGTATTATCGATATCGAAACGGCGCCTTCCTGGTAATGATTCGTGTTGTTTGTTGAACCTGGATGAACCATGGTGTAAGACAAAGTTTAGTCCTGACAGGAAAGATATATATAAAATCTGGATGGATATAATGGTAGCTAAGAATCTATGTAGTAGGAGAAAGAAGAGATGGAAGAAAGAGTAGAGAATGGGGAAATAAACCTGAACACGAGCACGGGAAAACCGGGAACAGCTTCATTTTTTGTATCGCTGACGGACAGTACCGAGCACAACAAAAAAATGACTCGAGGAAAGGTTTTCCTATCGTATATGTGTGTATGCAGAGATATGCGTTGTTGTATCGGTGCCAGTATCTTCGACAGAGCTGAGAATCGTAGGCCGTTTCTTCCTATCAGTGCGAGTGCTGCGAATCATATCCCAGGAAGCTCATTTCTATTTCTGCTTTTGGAGAACCTGGGGAGATACTGTAGCCCTGGAAGATAAGGAGGCTGGTGGATAGATACATTCTTTGATGACAGACCCTTGCTAATTGTCTATTGAAATAGAGCATGCAACTATTAGCAAGAGGCCACTGCCCAAAAACATATCTGCAGTAGAGGGAATATCCGTCTGTGAAACAAGATAGCAACGACATGGTTTCGATTTTGCTGGCAATCGAGTGTGGACATTATTCCCCCTGTAATTACAATGATATAGGAAATATCTATACTTAGTTTTCATTCGCTAATATCATGGCTTGGTAAATTATTCTACTACGTTTGAATTATTTTTGTACACAATGCACCACAAAAAGAAAGAGACCCCTTGGCTTCAAAAAAGAGCAAAACGCCGAGATTTTAAAGTACAGTAATTTTTTTGAAGAGGTATCGAGCTTTTACTCCCAGACTGCCATTTCTAGGGATAACCTCATCCTAACTGGTTTTCCCATGACCAGTGTATCATAAGGCCTTTAACTTCAACCAGAATATATTTGACAACCCTAAAATGAAAGTAAAGCAAAACAAAAAGAGAAAAACGCCGTGTCTAGCCTGCTTATCATACAGAGGAGATAGGAAGGCGAAAATCCAAACACCTGTAAATGCCTCTCTCCCCACGCTCTGCCACGAATAGTCTTCTTATTTTTTTTTCTCCCACATCACCTTAACAGATGGTTTAGAAGATAGGAAAAGTAGGAAACAGAAAAACCATGAACTAATCGCCTTGCCTGAACCGAAACCTTGTACCGATACGAAAGAAATGATGATGATAATGACGATGATGGTGACGATGATGATGATGATGATGATGATGATGATGATGATGATGATGATGATGATGAAATGACCCGATAAATAAGGAAAACAGACCCTGTTACCACACGTATTCTTATTTTTCGAAGGAAATAAAATGAGGAGCGGTATTGAATATATCGTCCATCCAGAGGAACATTGTTGCCGGAACTCGAAAGAAAGAAAAAAAGGCCTGGGTATTTTGGTGCAGCCTCTGAAATCGTACATAAGACATTCGACCGCAAAAGAAATCCTTCAAGCGTCAAGGGCATGCGAATTTTTTTGATGAGCGTATTATCTCTGCGACATCGAGACAGGTGCCGTACCCTGAAGTGGGGAGGGATAGTACGGAGACCCCCCATCTACACCGATATATGGCTCCTCATCCGCGAATGACGCTTGATCAAATGTATCTGAATCCAACCGCATGCCTTCCATATCACACCCATTACCAACTGCCCCATGCTCTGGCCATTGAGTCGAATAAAATTGATGATCTCCATAGTGCGAAGATTCAGAGACCGACGCGGTAAGAGAGGCTGTAGATGCACTGGCTGAATACATTTCAGGTGGTATACCCAGATCGACATCTGACGAATAAGCGGATTGATAACTGAATGGTAGGTTCATGCCCTGGTCAATTGAGCCCATCCGGGAGGGGGCCTGAGAAGTCCAAATGCCTTCCTCAAAATTTTCTATCGAATCAGTAGGGAGCGGTGTGTTACTGATATTTTGTTGAGAAAAGTTATTTCCAGTCATTGGGCCTGAAGTTGCCCTCCAAATTACTGAGGACAAAGAGGGATCCTCTAGCGGAGCTCGAGAGGAAAAGTCGGCAGAGGATTCGGGTTGAGAAGGTAGTTCCCATCGTGGCACCAAATCCGAATATCCTGGCTCTACCTTTACAGTTGCCGGTGTGTGCATTTGAGCCATGCTGGGTCTGCGGGAAACTGAAGCTGATTGAGAAAGCCCCATAATCCGTCCTGGTCTAGAAATGCCGTTTTGTAAAAATTGGTGTTCAAAAGCACCGGGTCCAAATTCGTATTCCGCTCCCCAGGTTGGAGTGACAGGAACGGAGACTGGATAACCGTTGGCATTTTCAGATAATTGGCCTGGTCCAAACCCAGGGGAAGGGGATGATCCGGATGAGCCTGAATCTTGACTATTAATGTCCGGCTTTGACATTGATCGTGGTCGTCGATCTGTGTTCTCCACTGGATAAAAGTTACACTCTTTCTTCAAACGAATGCAGTTGGAGCAGCGTCCATGCAGGTCATCCTTTGCCAGTAAACAGCGAATTTTCCGACGCCTACAGTGACCTGAACCACCCAGATGCACAATCGTTAGCAATTGAGTTGTTGAGTAGCAGTATTTGGATGGCCGGCGAGGCAGAGCTTTTTTTTTTTTCTCTCTTTGCAGAACATACCACATGCAACGGAGGTTCGATGGTAACCGAGTTTATTTCGACCTTTGCCTGTCGAATAGGGCAAGCCAGAAGTAGAAGAAGGGCCCTCAGCGGCCATGGCAGCAGCCTGCTGCACGTTAGGGGTGGAAAGCGAGCGTTTTACTGAAGCAGTCATTGTCGTAAGAGAGCGTGTTTTGGACAGACGACGGCGCCAGGCAGCAGATCCAGTAAACCCAGGATTGGGAGGTTGGGGAGTTGAAGTACTTAAAGATGGATGTGGGATATGCGGGATGCTCTCAGTAGCCTGCTGGGATGAGCAATGGTGTGGAGACAAAGGAGTGGATGATGGTGCTGAGCCAAGAGACGAACGGTGAGACTCGATCTTCACCTTACACTCTTCTGGTTTGTGGTTGGGTGAGGGGGGCTCTTCTAGGTCTACAAATGTTGCTACTATTCCCGGTTCCCTTGCTAGTCCGGAAGAGGGATATACAGAATGAAGAAAAGAATGTGGTGGACCTGGGGGAGCTTCTTTTTTTGAGAGTGATACTGGTTTTGGCTTTGGTACTGGTACTGGTACCTGTAGTATTGGTGGTAGTAATAGTGGTGCAGCAGATGGCAGTGAGGCTATCTGATAACGAATTTCTTGTGTGCCCAATGGTGAATGGCTAGCCTTTGACGGACTTTGCCCCGGCTCTTGGTGGTGTTCCTCAGTAGTAGCACGTTGAACGTGGTCGTTGTGGTAGTGTTGCTGGGGGTGGTTGATAATTCGAGCAAGTTGATCCTCTTGATCGTGCAACTCAAACTTAGCCTGCATAATAATACAGGTACAGTTTGAGCTTTCGTATTATTCGAGGGGGGTTTTTTTTTTGACGCACTGAAGTTTGTTAAGCAACTAGAACACTGCAGAACAAATGAGAGAGAAAGAGGGCTAGGGATTTCTAACACCAAAGAACTAGAATGAAAAGTATTGAAAGGCAAAAAAATATATATATAAAAAATAAAGGGTAAAAAACGCAATGTAACGTAAAAAGTATCAGGAGAATATCACAACTCTGTAAACAGAGTGGGGAAGCCTGTTGAAAAAAAAGCCCCAGCTGCAGTTACAGATGGGGAAAAAACAAAGAAGATGAGTTGCTGTTGAAGTGCAAAACAACACCATACCAAGACGAGAAAAGTAACCAGCATTAACAAAAGTCCGTGAACATACGTACCTGGCCTGGGGTAGTGTGATCAATTGTGATCAATCGAACGAAGTGGGACCAGCCAGCGCTCGGTGTCTTTGCTCCTGTCTCTGTTACGTTTCTGTTTCGGTGCTGACTTCGAAAGCTGGTGCCTCGATCTCTCATCAATAACTACCAGAGAGCACGCAAGCCAAATTGCAAAGCAATACAATACCTGTTCTCCCCTGCGTCCTACATGATCGTTCACCGCAGCAAGCAAGCAAGCAAGCAAGCAAGCAGCACCTCAGCAAACAAGTGCGGGCGTTTCTATCTCCGTTTGAGGCCATCGTCTCCTGATTCACGCTCGTTGGGGGGATGTAATTGAGCAAATAATAATAAAATCAAAAATAAAACAAAACAAGGTGAACAAATACAAATACAAAAATAAAATATAAGAAAATAAAAAATAAAATATAGAGAGAATGTCATAGCTAACAATGAAAACCTCGCCAACAGGATGCATCGCGAGACCAACGATGTTCCAGCTGCAAGCGCTATTCCGAAAGTGGCACGGTTGTGCGAGGGCAACATTTGAATGCGAACACCTGCCAATTGAAGCCAATCGCAACCGGGGATTTGGTAGGGTGGCCCCGCCTGCAGCCAGGCAGTTTCACGGCAAATTCTGTCCTGAGAGCTGGGCAAATTACGAGGGCATTTCCCCTTCCTCATCCCACTCCATCGTTCACGTTATATCATAAGGGCTCACTAAAGAACCCAAGTTAAACTAACGACACCGGCAGTCTGGTCCCTCTCTGTTTCCGGGTGAGTTTGAGAGTGTGGGATATCTACTTGGCTCTTGTTGTTCCCGCATAGGTAGTTGGTGGTGGACCTGGTGGTTGTGGTGGTTGTGGTTGAGGTGATAGATATCCGCGGCGTAATTTTTATCATGTATGTACCTACATATGCTTGTTCGAGTCTATGTATGTAGAGTATACATATGTGTGTTCGTGTGTCGAGGATATATGTACTCTACATGTAGGTTAACATGTATGTACACGCGACACCTATCACGTTGGGAGTTGTACCTGTCTTCTGAAATCTCTGCTGGGAGCCTCCAGCGTTGAAGGCATCTCCTTTCGTGCACCCCGAACGTCCCCAAATATTTCCTTCCACCTCAAACATAACCGCAGCTCAGTCATGTTCCGATGAATCGGTTGGCGGGGTTCCTCAGCGTGTCAAGAGTGTGGCGGATGCAGTCTCATCTTTTTTTCTTTCCTTTTGATGAAGGCCCCGAGCGGTCGTCCCTTGTTAGCGGAGTGAAGAAAACCGAACAGGATCGAGACCTCGCCCAGTAATCGACTCGCCACAGGTCCATTTTTGAACTAACAGCCCTCACAAATCCTGCGAACCAACGATCTCCGGCACTATCACAACTTTCACCTAAAAAAGTCTCCTCAAAACTTGACACCGTATGACGCCTGTCTGCATGGTCTTAGTAAACATCGCATCACAGGGACAAACACTAAACCTTCACTGGACGGTGGGCTTTAACATCAAGGCTCCAACAAAAATAAAGCCTCAGCATCATCTGGGACAGGGTTGTAGATCATCATCTTAAACACTCGTTTCTGTATGCTGATGAGCCTAAAAGCACCTCAAGAAGGGTCCAATGAGAGGCTCCTTGACATCAGGAACCATAAACGAGCTTTTCTTTGAGAAAATCGGGGTGTGTTGGTCTGTCCCTGGAATAATTACTAACGCAAGTCCATCGATCTTGGGAAATCTAACTATTTTAGCAGGCCTTTGCAACCTTGGTTGGAATATTCCAAGGTCCAGGCACGTGCAGCTGGCAGTAAAGAAGCTTACTAACTTCCTTCCTTTTCCCCGGTGCTCATTTGACCGGGGAATACGACGGACAGGGTATTTACTAGTGAGTCGCTACCAAATTCAACCAGATTCTCTAGAAGTGCTAATGATCAAGCTATTCCATTTCCGTGTGTGAGTATTTTAAGGTGTTTAGAATTGATTTTCAACTGGATAAAACCCTGTGAATCGACAGAATAAGTTTCGCCGTGAACACCTTATATGGAAAGAAACATTTGTTTCCAAGCGTTATGTTTATTGCTGTGCTTGCCATATTATATCGATTACATCCTTTCCGACCGACCCATCACGCCGTTATTGATGCGCAGCAATTGATAGGCCATTCCCAATGAGGTTGCTCAAAGGGCAGAATTATTAATGGAGAATGAGAATAGCTACATACGTGTTCACTTAGTGGGTAATGATGTTTCTAAGGCGTCTTACATATCTTGGCTTGAGAATTGAAACATTTGTCTGGGCCTCGGCCTAACGGTGAGATTTCGGAATAATGAAGCATACAGTTCAGAGGAAAGAATTGTTTCTGGCGGGGAGAGCCGAATGGTTGAAATTTTCATTGTGATACCGCATGGGTCTGGCAAAACTTTTAGAGCTCTCCCAATCCCCCACGTCGTCTCCTATTGTCCATTCGATGATCACTGCCGAGATGTCGAACGAGGACAGGAAAAGCAATAAAAAAGACATTTTTGTTGCATACTCATGCAAGTAGGTAGCCTCCTGAAGCACGTTTCTTGTCGCAAGCGACAAAAAGAAGATATGCTAGAGTAAGACTATGAAATACGATTTACCGGCGTAAAGCCAAACCCTCGGAAATTTGCCGACAGTGAAGTCTTCTGCATGGCAACAGGACCGAAGATCGCCACGAGCACGGGAAACGCCTTATAGCGATGTTTCTTCGTTGAAGCATGATAGGGTTTACCCTCTCCATTTCAGCCTATCTTTATGATTTAACTTGATTATTCCCATGTTTTATAGATCCTAGACGTTTACTGAACTCGAGTCCTCCTGACCACAGTAAGACTTCCTAAAGCTCGCCTTCATCCGAGCTTCCAATGATATTCTGGATGTAGGATCTCACCCGAATTAGTGTAAAAGCCTGTTCAGTGATCCATCAATAAAGCACCAGATTCGGCAATCTATCGGCACTATTCAATCATATCGATCCGTCCTGATATCATACGCCCATTCGGGAGGAGAGGCATTTGGCCAATCGTGATAAAGGACCTTTGGAAATTGAAGCACTGAAACATAGTACTTAATTGAAGGCCACGTGCTCTTAATTCCAAATTATTGATACTTAATTATTTCTGAGTTTCTCAAGAACCCAAGTTTAATAAATATCATACGACCTGCCCCAGAGCCCGAGGGTCCAATTTCCAGAAAAAAACTATATTTAATTTAAATACCAAATATATATAAATGGTGGGACGAAACGGGTAGATGCTTCTTTGTTCGATGATGAATCCGGCATATCCGGTAAAGTGCCGGGGATCGGGATTGGGAATTTTGCCATTTTGGAGCTGAAGAAGATGGGTTTTGAAATATAGATTTTTGAGGCTGTCCTTGAAATCTTTTTTTTTTCCGGATGGATGATCAGGTTGTGCATGTTAATACTCAAGGAATTAAATGTGCAGGGACCGCTGTGATGGCTACATGTAGGTACAAGTATGTATGTATTTACGCACATACAAGCTGGCGTGAGGGCTACCCTTTGGTTTGCCACCAATAATCGGCATTTACGCCTGCTGGCTGAACTGTCTGGCTTGTCAGTGGGCCTGTTTTGTTCCGGCCGACATCACGGATCACCCGGTGTCACTCACAGGACAGAAGTCTCAGATTCCGCTGCTACATACATAAGCTCTGTGCCCGCAAGCTTTCGGTTATCCGATGTCTCCCTCCTAGTAGCATCAGTAGCAGCTCAGGGAGCTCGCGAGATTGTTGTGATAGATGCCGGACCGGCGAACCAACTCCTTCTCCTAAGGGAACAGATTAGCGAGTTCGCTGAAATTTCAAACAATTAGTCAAATGAATTATGACAATATGGTTACACCATGCCTGCCCATACCGTATATGACCATGTCTGTTCTTTGCTCGGCCCGACATGTCACCGCCCGGTGCAGGTTGTGCCGACACGGAGTTATCCTGGCCAGCTATGGAGAGGCGTTGTTGTTGTTGTTGTTGTTGTTGTTGTCGTCGAGGGGCTGAGCTCTCGGAACACTCTGGCGCTCAGGAACCCGTTGTCAGCCCTAACCCCCAAACCCTCAGGAGCCCTACTGACAGGCGAAACACGTTTTCCGACTCTCTTTTACACCAAACAAAGAGAACACTGGTTGCCAACTTTATTTAATAGCGATTGTGCCCCTTACACACCGGATCTTATTTTCCGCAGGATCTTAGTGACGTCAGATCTACACAGTAGAGATTTTTTGAGGCTCTAGGAGACGCTTGGCGTCAATCATTTCTGGGAATAGCGCACTTGACGTCACTCAGTTATCTGTTAAAGAAGCCTCCACATCTGGGAAAGAAGAAGGTGAACGAGGTACAGCCAAAGACTACGTAACTATCACGTCGTTGCCCATACTCAACCCAACCACCAAGGCACCCAGCTTCGTGAGGGTTCACTCGAGTGCGGGCCGTAGGAGGTGAACAAATACTGACGTATTCACTGAATCCACTGTATATGACTTCTGAAAATGGATATAAAGAGAGGTCTTCGGGTCGTGAGATTATCCATCAACTCAAAGCATTCGAATAATCACATCCTCACATCACTTAAACATCCATTTTAAATCAAATCACTTTAACACACCACATCAATTAACATGTCTGATCTTGGTTGGTCATCTCTCTCTTTATTCTTTCTTCGATAGGCCTACGGTATCTAATAGAAATCCCCCATTAGGAAGGAAATCCCTCGGCGACCAGGTTGGCGACAAGCTCAAGCCTGACTCTCAGAAGAGCACCACAGAGAAGGTCGGAGACACCATGAGCGGTATGGGAGACCGTGTTGCAGGAGCTGTCCAGCCTGAGTAAGCGCTCTCTACTGCTAACCATGACAATAGAGCTATACAACTAACAGTTTTAAAGCTCCCAGAAATCCACTACCCAGAAGATGGGCGATAGCATGCGCTCCGGCTCTGACGATGCATCAAACAAGAGCAAGGGAATGGTGGAGACCGTCTCTGACGCCATGGGAAATGCTGCTCAGACTGTATCAGACACCGTGAACCAAGCTATGGGAGGAAAGAAGGACACTACCAGCAGGGACTTGTGATTTGGCAATTGAATCAGAACCGGTGTTTGGGTTGCTTATTATGTATTGAATGAATAATTTTATATGAACATTATTATCGAATAAATGTTGAACAAGAAAACCCTTTATTGATCGAATTTGAGGCGCTTTGGGGCTTCAGGGCCTGATGCTTCGCTGTCCATTCTTGCTCTTTTATTCCCAGTCCTAAACTCTTGAGGGGCAAGTTTCCCCTCTAGTCGCTCGGGTTTCCCTTTTCCTTTCTTTCCCTTAATCCAGAGCACTTTTCCCCAATAAATTCGTTCTTCCTCTCCCGATAAGATCTTCCCTGAGACCCAGTTTTCTTCGCGGAGTGCCTTTTCCCCCTTTTTCCCTTTTGTATCCTCGCCACTCCTCATGCTTCTCTTCCGTTTTTTCAATGCACGGACAATCAATGTAGAGTCTTCTGGGTTTCCCAGCCTTAAGTATGCCTCGTCCAACCCCTTCTCATAATCGATATAGCTTATGCGCAGAAGAGGAGGATCTTCACTGCTCAAGCTATTGCCCGATTTTTCCTGCTTTTCCCTTTTCTTCCGAAGGTATCTATCTACTGACCGGGTGATAAACGAATCGATAATGATTTTAGTTGTGGAAGGATGCAAATTGGAAAGGCGAATTATTAACCCCTTTTCGAAGCTTGATTCATTAGAAAAGATACGCTTTGGAGCCTTTTCTTCTCGGGAAGTGGTGTTATCTGAATTCATAATCTTGTGTTTCTCTGAATTGACTGTCTCAGGTCGTAAATGGTTATTACTCTCATTTGACGTGAACCTGTTCGAAATATTCTCACGACTTAAGGTGACCGCTCGCACTTGTGCTCTCAATAGGGCTTGATATTCCGAGTCGCGTTTTTGCCATTCTGATCTAGGATTTTCAAAGTATGTCAATGTTTGTACCTAAAAGGGCCGTCGGCTAATAGGGTAAGCTTACTTGGTTAAAACAATCCAGTCTCTGGGCCATAGTTTCTTGTTTGTCATATCATCTTCTGTTATTACTGAAGATAGCGTCACAAAAGTCCATGGTTTTTGCGTATTTTCCACAAATTGAACAGGAAAATATCTTCGGGGCAAAAACGATTCATGTAAGATCCTTGCTGCCCTCCCCGGATTTGATATTATAGTGGGGACATCTGGTTCCTGGGAGTTTGGTGGGGTTAGTAAAGCGACCGAAGTATTGCGATACGGGAACGTGATAAACTCACAATGTATACGGTAAAGAGATCTTGATTCTCGTTTTGTGAGAACAAAGTACCTTTTGCTTTACGGCGGACATTATAGCCATCGGAGCTTAGCTATTGGCTGGTTAGTGTCTGGGAGATATGTAGACGAACGGAGTCCAAGAAAACCTCAAGCACGTCTGATTTGCACGCAATAAGCGCCTTCTTAAGGCTGACCTGTGACAGGGCCGGCTTTATTGTTGAAAAGTATTGACAGTCTATAAAAGCTGAAAGGTGGAAATCTGTCATGAAACGCATTAGTCTAATTACAAAGAAGCTTCCTTATTTAGGCTCACAATCATCTTTTCCTTCAAACTCTCGCATCTTCCCCTTCAGCCAATTTCCATGCGCTTTCTCCAACGAATAATCAGAAAGCAAGATTTCGAGTGACATGACTGCCTCCTTAGCTGCCACGATATCGACATTATCCACTCCACTTAGCCCCAGATCTGCTTCAGTTCTTTTGGCTGGAGCCAGCAGTGGTGGTGGGTGTACATTTGATTTCGAAGCCGTGGTTGAAGAGGTCGGTTTGTGTGGTACGGACTTTTTCTGGAATTGCCTAGGGACAAACATAACATGGTGTGGGGAGGGGCGAGCGATGTAGGTTCTCTACTGAAGGAATGTGTGTAGCGTGTTGAGGTCAGGGATGCAGGTGTAGATTGTAAAATGCCGGAAAGAGTGTAAGTCACGTGTAGTTTAATATGTGGGATGATGTGTATTTCAGAATGTTTCCGGACTAGACTGCATAACAACCAGACGCAGTCCAGTCCGGAAGAATAATTATTCTACGTATCAGCGGGGACAAAATCTATTTTGTTAATACATTGAATGGAAAATACACTTAGTTAAATAAGAGATTTAGATGAATTGCCTAACATAGAGCGATTTATCCTAGAAAAAATGATCTAGTCTAGGTAAGGAAACTGTCTAACTGCATTCCATAAAGAAAGTAGAGCGGAAAGTACAGATTAGTCATACTCATATCGTAAGACACCATGGTCGTTGGCTGGAGTTGCTATAACGAACGAGACTGCAGGGTGAATACTGCTTTCTGATTTGCCAAATTGGCGTTGAGCCTCAATTACAACCCTCAAAGGATGGTCTTGACCAGTTCTTGAGGTACCTATATACGTACGCTTAGCAAAGCCCATTATGATAATTTAATCATGTGCGGATAATCTATTACGACTACCGTGCCTGTACTTGACGCTGTCACGTTTTCGTAAAGTATTTGAGTGGCACCTTTTAAGGGATACAACATTAGGGTTAGGGGTTTGCCTCAAGTCACTCTTCATGGGATCTGACTCGGGACTAAGGTTAGGGATGATATTAGTGCCCAGCGGGATAATGACTAAGCGATAGCTGGAGTTTTCATCCCTGCTTTTAATTAACCCTCTAGTGAAACTTTTTTTTCTTTTTTCTTATCAGATCATATCGAGATTTCGGTTCTGAGCTGCGCTAGAGTAAGGACCCAGGGGCCAGTCCCAAACCAATTCAATACTCAGCCGAGATAGCGTGAATCGGAGTTTTCTTTCAGCCGGTAAATCCTATTATTTATTTTTATTTCCACAACCTAGCTACAATTCACTTTGACAGGGTAAAGAAGTTAGTGATTTGGAGCTAGATATTGTTCTCGGGGGTCGTGCGCTGATTACGGTCTTGCAAATCAATCCAGTTTGATTTACAATGGCGGAAACATTCAATTCCAAGCTTTAGATCAACTGCACGAGTATTCAGGAATCTCCATGCATGCAAGCTAGATGCTACTCTACTCTATCCCGGGTAAATACACACCGTCATTAAACAACACCTGCACGGGTGTTTTACCCGCACGCATACGCAGTTGGATTGCAAATTCCGTGGACGCATTGTTCACCGCGCATGTACGATGTAAAGTATGAGTACTCTGGAGTAGGTACATATTATTCTCGAGCATTTTTGATCTAGTGTTAAGCAAAGTGCATCTGTATATAACGAGTCGAGATAACGGTTGCCCCTTAATAAAGCAAAAATAGAAACAAAAAGGCGGTAAAGAGAAGCTTTCGGAGAAAGGGCCCACTGGCGTGGGGTTATTACTGGTATGTACTCGTAATTTCATAGTGTTTCCGAACACGACCAATATTGCATGACATACAAAAAGGTGGATTTGGCGCTTTTTTGTATGGTATGCAATAGCAGTCGTGTTCAGAAACGTCATGAGACGTTTTCACATGTGCGTGTGGTATTTCGGATCTACAATTGCAAATCGTTTGAGAATAAATCTAGGACAGAATCATTTCACATGCTTCCTGCAAGAATCGTTAAAGTTTGGGAAATTGTAATCGTCAAGATTTGTGATTAGCAAGTTTATACATACTCTAGATCTACATGTATGCATGACATATGAGTGGTTGAGAAAAACTCTAACCTCCGCGTACATATATTTTAAAATGCCATTACTCAAAGTGTAGAAGGATACAAGTATTTCTGATGCAAAAGTAAGTCTTTTGATCCTATCCCTTGGACGGATGAAACTCTCAAATTCGCAGCCTGGACCGTGCACGCACTTAGTCAGGTAACCTTCTTGCTTTTTGTGTGCGGTAATTATAATACAGCCAATCAAAAATCAGCACGAGTTACTGGATAGGGCTAGTATTAGCTGAAAGAGGGAAGCTACGAATTTGAGAGTTTCATCCGTCCAAGGGATAGAGTAGACCTGCTAAAAGCGTTGTCATGGTAGGGTACCCAGTAGACTTCCACCCACCCCTTAAATCCATATAGGTACATGTAGTCTCTCACAAACGTTTGGTGCAATTTGGTCGCATTTTGCAGAGAGTGACAAGGGCTGTTCAGTATCCATATACATGCACCTACTTACATGTAGGTATGTGGGTATATAGATGTATCTACTTAGTTCGTTGATTTGACTACATGTAGTGAATCGACTCAGTGAAATGTTAGATCATTATTCAAATAATTGTGCTCCGCAACGATCGTACGAACCGGTATCATCTTAAGATACGCCATTATCATGAATGCGGGAGTGATGCGTATCTATGAAACCTTTTTTGAATTTTTCCACTTTTTCAATATATCAAATGATTGGAGGTACTTATTTGTAGGTACATGTAGGTGGGATCTTCGGCTGACAGATGCAAAGCAACAGGGCCATAAATTTATGTACATGTATGTAGGTAAATGTACCTACATGAGTCTCAGCGTTTTCAGCACAAGATAAAACCCAAATTTATGTATGGACGTGGTTATGTCACAGCGAGGGTTAGGGTTAGGGTTGTGCTGGACTTCTTGAGTACAGAGGGATATATCGCGGTTTGGCCTAGTATGCTTATACTTTCCGACGTTGACAAACCAGTTAACTGGTATTATGTAAGTTTAGATGTTTTATGATAATGGGAATTAAATCTTTCGTACGTAGGTACGTACCCGCCCAAGTACGCTAGTCAAAAGCTACGATGCAGGGCCAATGATATCACTACATGTAATTAACTGCATGCAGTACAAGTAATAATATGATATTTATTCGTAACTGTGATTTTTATACTGTAATGTAAATACATGCTAATGTGTACTCTTAGTGTATGCCGTTGAATGGAGTTTTAGATCCAGTCTGGTTGATTGTTTGCGGAAATACACACTGCAAGTATACACTCTTGATCATGGTACTCAAGTACGAGTACATATGTAAGTAGGTACATTCATAAGTATTTAAGTATTATACTTATATAGAGCTAGAGAGGTAGTTGGCTTGATGGTATGTTAGACACTCTTATAATTCAGCTGTACGAACATGGTCAGAAAGTTCTACACATGCTAATATCCCTAACCCTGCGACTGGAGGGCTATTTGTTAAAGTGAAATCATTTTTGCAGCTTCTGGGGATACACGTAGACTTGAACACGGCATACGCCTATCCTGAAGGAACATTTTGACAGATGAGTTTACTATGACCTCGTAGTTAGAGGATTTTTGACTTGGGGTATTTTATCATGTGATTCTATTAACCTCCAAGACAGAGTGCTTACTATGCGTTTGGAGCAAGAAATAATATCAACAGAGAAGTCTATAGATTCGGAAACCATATAGTTCGAGAGGCTATGAGTCAATGATGTCTTCATTTTACAAAACCTGATCTTGATAGTAAATCCACAAATAAGGTCAGGATAGGAAGCTAATAAAGGTAGATCAAGTCACTGGTTTCTGCAGATAAAGAATTGATAAAAATGCTATACATAGATAAAAGCATAAATGGTTTCATTCGTAAACCAACCAATCAGGTTGCATTCTCGTAACAAACGTTGAAAAACTACTCATCCTCTTCCTCCTCCTCATCATCACTGCCATCCTCGTCTGCCTCCTCGAGCCACTTCAAGAAAGGTTCTGCAGCTTTGCGAACCTTTTTGCTTGTCTGAACGTCAACATATTTTTTACTCGCCCTGCTACCCCATTTCGTGATAGTCTCTTCGGTGGCAAGATCATTTTCGTAGTAAGCCATAAGAATCGTGGGTATTGAGTTTATGAGTTTGGGAAACTCTTTGCCAACAAAGCGTTCGGTTCCACCAAGGAATGCTTTCTCATGGCGATCAGAAGTAATCATCTACAAAATGTTAGAAAATAGACGGGGAAGAGGTAGACAGAGTAACGCACCTTCTTGAGAAGGCCAACATGCTTTTTGACCTGATTATCCTTGATGATATTCTCATCAAAAAGTGTCTGGGCCAGAACCTGCAATGTCTTATGCTTCTTCTCAATTCCAAGCTCCTGGGTCTTCTTGTAAACTTCAATATCATCGATTTTCCCGTCCTGCTCCTTCTTTTGGGCGACGATCCAAGATCCAAGTTGATCATATGGGTTATCTGCACCCTCAGCGTCCTCATCATCTTCACCCTCGATGACGAGGGCTCGCTTCAAGTCGTCCGGGAGATTCTTGGCACGAGCCTTGATAGCTTCTTCAGACATATCGACGGCCCACTCATCATCCTTGATATCAGGAGTGTTCCCGTTGGCCGCAAGCTCCCTTGCTTCGGCGTTGATGCGTTTGGTAAGCTCATCATCCGATCCACCATCTGCATCGACATCTCCTTGATCCTCGGAACCGCTGTCCTTTGGTGAACCACCATTCTCGCCATCCTTCAACCCCTTGGTGCTCTTTCTAGAAGAGGTAGTCCTGACCTTCTTCTTTGGGGGATTTTTCACGATGTATGAAGAGAGCTTGTGACGCATTTCAACATCAGTGCGTTGACCACAGGCTTTGCAGTCACGAATGATGGATTCGTCCTTCTGAATAATCAGATCTGTTTCGGGATTCTTGCACTGTTTGCACAAAACAAACTTGCTGATGAAAGTGTCAAGGTATTCTTGGAGCTTTGAAGAATCATGTGCACCATTGATGATGTAACGGTCATCAGAGGGATTTGCAGTGACCTGGGCACCCAGTTCAAAACCGAAGAATTTGACCACATCTGTACTATCAATTAGAGAGTGTTCCCAAGAATTTGAGCCCAGGAAACTAGCAGGTCAAACTTACAGGCAGGATCACGGCTCAAAGAATGAGCAACACTGCTTAGGTTCACGATGACGGACTTGATGCCATTTCCCTTCCCTTCAATCTTAGATTGAAGACGTTCCATTTTGTAACGGTAGAAGGGGTCAGTGACATCGCGGCGGATATTGATGGTAGCCATGATTGTGGTTTAGTGTTCGAAAGAGCTGAAGTGAGCGGACGATGATATAAGAGCAATATCGGCGAGGTTAAACAGCATGAACTACTTTTCTGTCAAGAATCCAAGAGGATTGGGTTTCGTTTCGTGTGGCGAAAAAGATGAGTGTCGAAGTTTTATCCTCACTTTCAATGGTTGGAAGCGAATATTTAGGTGGGAGAAGGATTACTAAAAGTCCTTCTAGTCTTTTTCAAAGGCCGTATAAGGCGAGAACAGTTCGATGGTGAGTTTGCGGTGGGGGGAAGATTCATGAACAACGACGACTGCGGGAGAACTGTCCAGATGTTCGTCTGAAAAAGGTACTCTTGAAGAGTGAAAGGTGGGGGGGTTGAGGTGTTTGTTGCAGAAACGAGACGAGATTTCCTCAAGCTCGAGCGTTTGCGTGAAAGATGAAGACGATGTTGGGGGGAAATATGTTTTGTTTCAATGCTGTTTGCAAACGGGTGGGGAGACAAGAGTGCGGAGAAAAGGAAGAAAGGAAAGAGGGCAGCGGTTGTGGAGTATAAAAAATCTTTTCCTAACACAGGCCACCTGTATTCCCGATGAGTCATCCACTTTGTGATTTTTACTGGTTAGTTGTGGTGCGCACGCACATGCAAGATTGCGGGGCAATCCAGTGATCCCAGAAGTTACCCGGCCTTTCTCGGTATCGCATACACCAGTGTTCAAACGTCGTTCTACATGTAACATGTGTCGATGCAAAATACATCGTTGGGTAATTTATATATACATATATTTACCGTTACCCATTTACGATTTATATCAGCGAACAAGTATCGGAGGTACCAACAGGAAGAAAGAAAGAAAAATCCTCCTCACAGAACACCCGTTAAGCCAAAGTCTTCGCTGGAGTGATCTCTCCACTCAACGAGAACCCAGGCCCATGAGTAGAACTCAAAACTACTTCTGCAATACTCTTAGAGACTTGCGTGACTCCTGCTATGTCCTTCTTAAGCTGTACCATGAATGCCTTGATGTTTTCTTGTAGCTGTTGTTCTGTGAATGCGAGTTGGCCGATCGGCATGCGCACAACTCCAAGGCGCTCACGATAGCTAGCTTTACCGACAAGTTCACTAATTGCTGCGGTGGGGCTTTTGACAACGGTGCCCATCTTAGCGGAAGGCATAAGACCTCTAGGGCCGAGGATGCGGGCTACTTTTGACTTGACGAGCGCTTGGAAGGCTTTGTCGTGGCAGAGACATAAATCAAAATCGAAGGTCCCATTTCGAATCTAAGATATTTTTGAACATGTGAGCCCGTGTTTTAATTGTATTAAATGAATTGACTCCCCACCACAAAAAAAAAAAAAAAACAGGGTGTGTGCATACAAGATCAAAAACTTCATCGGTTCCAGCCATTGTCGCACCAGCTTTCAGCGCATCTTGAGCAACCTTTCCCTCAGCAATAACACAAATTCTGGTGTCCGTCTTCACAGGTGTCGGTAGCCGTACTCTGTCTCTCAACTGAGGACCATTTTTAGGAGTCTTGAGCTTGACAGCAAGTTCGTACTTTGTCCGTACTAGATCATGGCCAACTTCCGCCGCTCGAATGTATCGAACAGCTTCGACAAGGGAAAACTGTTGAGCGTCTTTTAGATCCCATTGTATGAACTCTGTGCGTTGTTTCCTTTTATCTTTCTTGTCTTTTTTATCTTTGGTTTTTCTCGGGGGGGTCTTTGTGTTTTTGGAAGCTTTAGAAGCGTATTCCCGGCATAGTGAAACAACCGCTGCCCTAGGAGTGAGTGCTGAAGATGAAATGAGGGAGGTTAACGAGTAAGTTGGGAGACGTAGTCGAGGAGGCATTGTTGGGGTTCGCGGGAGATCCGCAAGATCAACAATCTAGCGGTTCAAGATGGAGCAATTCGTCGATGTGTAGCGCACAGTTGAACCAATTGGGGTCGTGGTGAGTGGGCCAACTGCATGGAATCGTGAAGTTCAAAAATTTCATTGGGAGGAGCTGAGTCAGCTGCATGGGATGCTAAAACCACCAGCTGAGTCAGCTAATACCACACTTAGGATGCTGAGCAACGCACTACAGTTGAAGTACTTGTATGTATCTTTTCTATCAAACGATAGATCGCGATCGACTATTAACATCATGAACCGCTACTTTTTTCATTTGTACTTGTAATACTTTATACCGGGGCTGCACTGCGCTTAGAAAAGCCCTGACCATGAAGTAATATTAGGGTGGGTTAAAGCACATATATATACACATACAGACTAATCTCACGAACTCTGACTCGAGACTATGGTTAGGGGGTGATATTTTTCTGTGCCGTGAAGTTTGGCTCGATTGGGACTACTCCAGGGAATCTGACTATATTATTATTGTCATTATTGCTACATGTATTAAGCAACCTTTTGTTGTTGTACTTGATATTCCACTAGGCTTATGACTTCATTATAGGAGCTGGAGAGAGCCACTTGATAAAGTGATTACACATACTGTCTACATCAAAAATCACTCGATCGAGCTCGTGATCGAGACGTCTAACATAATTTAAGATTATCATCACACGTTCATTCATGAGCTAGTCAACATCTTAAAGTGGTATCATTTACATTATACAAGTACTCAGACGTTTATTAAATGGTCGGATATCGTTGCAACCAAATCCCTACTAAGGATTCCGAACGCATGAGTACAGTGGTATACAAATAAATATACACTGGAGCTGCGCTGCGCTTAGCAACGCCCTGAAACCCACGGTTCATAGGTACTCCTACTCTGCGGGGGCTCCTTTCACGCACTTGTAGCCTAGTTTAACTTCAGTTTCGCCATAACTTCTGCAAAGTAAATTAACGCTTTCCTTTCCTTAATTTCGAAAGGCAATCGATGAAATTAAAAAAGTCAAGACAGCAGAATTCTTTATTTGATACAGGGAAATATATATATATGCTTTGTTAGGTCGTATTCTTCATGTGATTAAGTTGTCTAGACTCCCGAATTGGGAACGTATAACTGCTTGACAGTCAAGTCTCTACATTCAGGCTTGAGCTACACGATGATGACTCAAGGATAACTAAGCAAATGCTAAACGACTATGCCCACTTAACCCTAAAGTAAACTTCGGGGCATTAAATGTATGTACTTCATGCAAATGGGTAATAAACATTTTTTTAACTCCATGTAATGTTCTCTAATTCACAGTACCATTGAAGCGTATTGAAGTTCACGTTTTGAGTCTAGCAGGAGAATGACTCAATAATGACTAATAACATGATGATCCCTGTTCAACTTTAGGCACACGTATCATCCACAACTCCCGTAGTTCAGGGTCCTCCTATCTATATAGTCAGGGTCCAGATCCAGTACTACGCACCCTAATCTACCTAGTTAGTACATGTACATATTCTACTCCACATACACAATCTACCGGCACCCAATAGATCGAAAACGGAGCACCGTGTCTTCATTCCATAGGTCGCCTTGGATCCGATTAGTAGCTACATAGGCTACTAAATATTCCTTGAGTTCCAACCAGTTCATGCCCTCTCCACGGCGAGTGAAATATCTTTTGCTCAACATGACTCTTCTCCTCTTTACCGCATCAGCTATGATATGTTTATTGGCCTCTATCGTGTTCCTGCTTAACCCGCAGGCCTCATATTCGTTACCAAACTCTTTACAGGGTTTACAGGCAGCGCTTCCTTCGTATCTACAAATTCACCACGGGGGTTGGTGGTCTAGTGAGCCGGATTACCAGGCTGCTTCCGGGCACACCGTTGACAAAGATGAATGGAATTTACTTTATCACTTGGGCGGGAATGGTCCTTGGGTAGAGAAGGTTGATGGTGTCGTGGAAGAGGGAATACAGGTACCGGATGGATGTGAGGTTGATATGGTGCACATGGTAAGTTACTTCTTCGCTCACCTGACGGGGGGCACCCGTATGTATGGTTGTTAATTTCTACGCTAGATGTCACGGCATGGAGAACGTTTCCCTACACAGAAGGCTGGCAACAGTATGTATCATATCCCCAGGAAACGAATAACTCTGACTAGTCAAATTAACGGAATAAATCCTACAGGAATGATAAGTCTACTTGAGAGAATCTCAGAAGTCAAATCTACTGGAAAGGAACTCAAAGGCGCGCTTGAATTCTTAAACGACTGGGAATATTTTACGAACTGTGAGTCGATAGTAATGTGGTTTTCAATATATATATCTTACTTACTAACCGAACCCTGCAGCTCCCGGCGAGCATTTTGAACAACTTACTACTACCGGCCCTTATGCTGGTGTCCTAGAGGCCTTTACAACTGGAGTCAAGCTTCACACCCGTTATGGGCATCTATGGAACGAAACTCTCCACGGCCGGACAACAGTTTGGGCTAGTGAATGTGATCGAGTAATCGATACTGCTAGATACTTTTCCGCTGGGTTTTTTGGACTGGATCCTAAAGCTTCAAAGCTTGAAATCGTTAGTGAAGCCGCCAATAAAGGAGGGGACACGTTGACACCTGGGTATTTATCCCACCTTCTTTCTTTTTTACAGGCCCCAGCCAATCACAGAAACGCAACCTCCCGGGAATTGGGTGCTGATGAAATATAAATTTCCTGGAATTGACACTGACTTGCACAGCGACACTTGCATAAAATACGCCCAGGATGAGGAAGAAGGCCATGATTATGGTTATGAAATGCTTTATAAATATCGTGCGACATACCTCAGCGATATCTCGAAAAGACTAGCAAATGACAATGAAGGATTTGATTTTACAGACTCCGAAATTTACAGCATGCAGGAAATGTGTGGATTTGAAACTACAGTGAGAGGATCTAGTAAATGGTGCGATGTCTTTACGAAAGAAGAGTGGTTCTCATTCGAGTATGCGAGAGATGTGTTACACTACTACAGGGCTGGTCCAGGTAATAAATATGCCAAGTCGATGGGTTGGCTTTGGTTAAATGCTACTGCAAATCTCATTGCCGAAGGACCAGGCACCGCAGGATCGCT